ACACACACACACACACACACACACACACTCCGGCACAGCCATGCACAGCCATGCACAGTGCCCCTCCCTCCCCCCTGCTGTAGCTACGTAAGTGGGGAGAGGCTTCAGAATCAGAGCAGCAGTGGTGAGAGAGAAATAAAGAAAGCTATATTTGTAAGTCAGTAATTTGTGAAGAGAAGCCGTCTGCAGTTTAGCGCCAGGGGGTCTCCTCCATGTCATTGTGTCTCCCTCTTACAATAGTGTTATTGCAAGAGTGACTCTTTCAATAGGTGATAATCAGGGCACTAACGATCGGCTAATGGTCCCCTTTTGCATATCAACACCAGTTTTGTTCATATTCATAGTCAAACTTGTTTGTCAACCATGTGAAGGCACCAAGGCGCTGATAAAGCTGAAGAACTTTCTTGGAGGAGAGATGATGAAAACCTTTTTTTAAAAGAACTCTTGTGACATACTGTATTCAACTTTTTTTTAAGATAATCTATGGCCTTACGGCATAATTCTTCAAGGAAAATTCATACATGTCAAGTTGTACGGATTGTCCATAATTTACACAGACTTTCCATCATTTTGCAGGTATATGGATGTACAGAGAAATCTCACTGATTTTTTTCAAGTTTAATGGATTTTTCCAAAACCTCAGATTCAAATTTATGTAACATATCAGAGCCTGTAGGACATTAAAAAAACAATAACATCAAATGACCATCTTCAAACCTGTTCTGCTGCTAGTAATGAGACTAGTAATAAGTTCTCCCTTCCTCCTGCGTGCTTTGCAGCAGGCGCTGTCATCTTTGCGGCCGATAGCCCCGCCCCTCAGTATCGGAATCAGTATCGAAATAAGCGATTCTAGCACAGTATTTACTTGGTATCGGATCAATACCAAAATTCCCAGTATCGCCCACCCCTACCAACGGTAACCAAACACAAAGAGGGGAAAAAAAGACAAAAACAAGGGGACGTTGAGCCCCGCCTGCATTCACTACATACACATAATATGACACCTAAGAACCACAGCATCCAAACCAYTAAGTCAGGTGATGGGGCACATGACCCTCTATGAACAATAGAGCTAATCAAGCCTATTGTTAGGCGATGACCCTCTTTTGCATGTGACTAACCTGTTTGTCCACCATGTGGAGGCAGTGCTTTTAAGGCTGAGTTCACCTGAAACTCATCAGACTGAAGAAGTCTCTTGGATGAGAGACAAAATGTTTCACTAAAGAAGAACCCATCCAGYGGACCTACTTATTTTTTCTTTTTAATTTTTTTCTACCTGGATTACTGAGATGCATCAGGACAAATGTTTGGTTTGATGGTGGAAGTTTTGCTGAACGTGTGTTCTGTAAAATAGAGCAGTGTCTGTGATGGACAGTTTTCTTTAACGCTGATGTTACAGCTCATGAGTATCATGGAGAGGGAGGCTCTCGAGGCCAGCCAGTCCAGCACCGTCTCTCCCAGCAAAGTTCAGCAGGAGGAGCTCTTTCTTTTCCCAGCTGAAAACAGCACCTTGACTACACTGCCTGGTGTGGCCCGGGTGGTCCACTCCAAGGCCTCCTGTACTGTACATTGGCTAGAGAGTGGCAAGACCCGACCCAGTGCCAAGGAACTACCGGCAGCCCAGATCCTGGGTATTCACACAGCGCCACCACCCCGCGGTGGCAGCAAATCTGGCCGAGGAAGCTCTGCTATAACTAATGCCTCTGCAGCTGTGTGGGCTGACGCTCGTCGGACTGATCCCTCCAATTCAGAACCGTCACCCGACAGCTCTGGAAAGGTGGACGAGAAGAGGCCGTTCTCCCTTTCTGCTTCCTCTCAGCCGACTGCAGCTCCCGGTGAGGAGGGAAGTGTGCTGGAATCTTCAGAGACCGGCCTGACGTGCACCGATGTGGAGGCCAGCTGTGGACTGGAGGCGAACAGAGGCGCAGAGAAGTTGTGTTGTGGTGCAGAGAGCTCGTCGGAGCCGTGCAAAGAGGAGCAGAACCACGGGCCCTCATCCACAGAATCCACCCAGACTCCTTCAGCGAAACCTGCAGCGACGAGCTCAGAGGAGGGCTCGCCACAGGCCTCTGTGCCGCCTGCAAAAGAACGGACCGTCGAGCACATCAGGGAGGAGGGCTGGAGCGCGCGCGACGGGGAGAACGTCACCCTGGCTGAGCTCTACCTGATGTTCGGGAAGCCAGGCAAGCTGCAGCTGGAGTACGAGTGGCAGCCAGCTGCAGCTGCTTCCAGCAGCCAAGACAACGGACAAGCTGTGGTCGTACAGCCCAACCGGACAAACAGAGTGCTGCGCTGCCTGCTCAAGCTGATTTCCACCGAGGTCAACCCAAAACCTATGGTAAAAAAAATCATTTTTACATCGTTGATATCTGTTGTTGGTTTTCTGTCATGATTTTTAAATACTGTGGTTTAATGTTAGACTCCTAATCTTGAGTCTTGAGAAGTAGAAATAAAGAAACAGGTTAGATTAGACACAAACTAGATGTGATTGCTTTGCTTTATAATCGTTTATAACTAAGTTGCATTTTGTAAAGAAGGAAATAATACATGTAAAATAGCTTTAAATGTCAACATTAAATATTCAATTCGATTCAACTCACTTCAAAAATTTATTCATTTCATTAAAAAATACTATATACAATAATAAAAAATAAACAAAAAAATATACAAATCAAAATAAAATGAAATGAAAGGTAGCAGAAGAAGAATAAACCTTATTTTGTCTGCCCCTTTTCGACCCAGAATATATTCAAATGAAACATAATTTCCAAAACAATAATAAATAACATAAAATGAAAAAATAAAATAAAAAAATAAAAATAACAACAACAACATGAAAACATCATCTCAAACAGCAAATCAAGTAGCTTCACATTTTACTTTTCATATATCTTCAAAAAACTTGCTTTTATCCGTCTTTTAAATAAATACATTGATCCAGCATTTTTAAGATCATCTTCCAGACCATTCCATAATAAAGGATATATATATATATAATTATGTCACTTTCGAAATGTCATGTTTCTGCTGTTGATATATTTAATAATAAACTTTAAAGGTCTTACAGAAAGGACATTTACTTTTTACTTTACATTTACAAGTAAGCAAAAAAGAGATGACAATCACCAGTAAAAAACAAAAAAGGTTGTTGTTTATGTTTTGTCTCCAGGCTGCTGAGATGTGCTCCACAGCCACATCACCACTAAAGAGCCATCAGGAGGAGCAGAACCAGGCCCTCACTCCTCCAGGGAAGGGTCCTATCACAGGTGTACGCAGCCCCAGCTGTGGTCGACAACAAGCTCCTGTCCGAGTGACCAGGATCCACACTCCCAGCTCTYCAACCTCAGGTTGCTTCATCTTTCATCCTCGTGCACGTTCACAAGCTGCACTAAACATGCGTCGTCACTAACCCCGGCACCTGCTCCCCTCCTTCCCTAGGCGGGCGTAACCTTCCTCGTTCTCTGCTGGGGTCGACTGCGAGCGGCGACGCAGAGGGCAGCCTGTTCGCAGTGCCCACCACACTACCCCCCAACAGCTCACGGCACAACAGAATGTTCTCCCCGAACAAGGAAGCCCAGCTCGCCTTCAGGCAGCAGCTGGACTCCATCAGTGTAGGACAGAGTTTTCATATGAAAAGGTTCAAGACTTCATATTAAACATGGTGAGCTCAAACCTTTTCTCTTTTTTTATTTTGCTGCAGATGCAGTCGGATCTTTTCCTCTCCAGACAGAGAAAACCACGGAACAGACAACTTCGAAAACCTCTCGTAGTTCAGGTAGGACCGGAGGATGGTAATAGTGGAGACCCAGTGTAGGTTAATCTGTGCAGATGTGTAAAACGATTCTCACAGTGCTGTGCTGAATTATGTATCTGCTGTCTGTTCATTCCCAGCGAACGCTGCTGCCCAGGACTACAGGAGACACTCCTCAACACGTCTGCTCCTTCTCCATCCTCTCCAACTCCTCTGCTACAGGTATGAAACTAAGCTCACAGTAAAACATGTGACCAACAAAATGCTACATTTCAGTTCTGCGAAGTTATTTGAACTTTCTCATATATTGTGACAGTAAAACATTGATCTAAAATGTTATTTCCTCTTTCTCAGCTGTAGCTTTAATTGCTCGCTCACTTCCTGTTTCCTCTCTCAGGAACTGGATCTTTCCGGCCAATCCAGACTCGCCTGGCTCCCTCCTCCCGCCCTCCCTCGACCAAAACTTCACCTCCAGCGTCCAGCTCTYCAGTACCCAGCCATCTCTCCAGTACGGCTGCTTTTGTTCATTAATATCAGTTTAAAGGAGACATCTCATGCAAAATCCACTTGTTTAGCCGTTATTACATGTTGTTGTACTTGGAGTCTCTAGGAGTGCAGAAAATTAGAATGTAGTTTCTCCCAGTGCTGCGTAGATACCTTTGAAACCTGTTTGGGTCATATTTTAAGGTTTGAACATACCAAATAATCAGTTTGGTGGTCTTCGTTCTCCTCTGGCTCTGGGTCAGACTCTGGCTCCAACATGTCAGGATGGATGGACAAGTCTRCCCTTGCTGACATCTTAAAATTAATTTGTAAATAAAAAGTTTCAGCACCACTAGATAATTGTGTCCTGTCTATCAAACTGGAATGGACCGCTCTGGAAGCTGGAGGTGGGGGGGMTGTGGTGCGAAAGAGACAGCCTCAAAATGAGTTGATGTGGGACTCACCTCAGAAAAGGGGTGAAAGAGGGGCTTGTGGAGTTGCAGTTTGAGTTAACTTTAACAATAGTACGCCTTCGTCAGACCACTCTTTTCTCACAAAATGTACAAAACGTTCAAGACCCATTAAAGCGTTAAAGATTCCTTATTTCTGACCTCTGTAATTATAAATTACCATCTGATTTATTGACCTCAGTGGTTATTTCACTCCATTGAACTAATCTGACAAATGTAAAATAGTATTTTTGTAGACACAATAATCCTTTAGCAATATATTTCTTTTATTTATTATTTGCACTAAACAATATTGCTTTAATATACAGATTTTCAATGATTTTAAAAAGAAGAATATTCATCCCATTTTTAATATCTTTTATTTCCCAGCAGAGCCTGTTTTCATTTTCAGATCATATGTTTATTGGGTTCCAATTGCTCAACTGGGTCAGATGTAGTGATTTCCCTTTTGACATGCTAATTTCAGTTACCAGTAATACACTTTGCTCATCTGAAAGTGGAGACGAGTGTTTCTGACTTGTTCATATTCTCGCAGGTGCCATCGACCTGGCAGCCAAATCTGCAGGCATCATCCCCGGGAGCCCCTGTCGGGACTTAGATCCTCCTGGTGTCGACGGCGGCGCTCTGCTCGCAGAGACGCCCGTCGTCGATACTGAACCGGACGCTCAGCTGCTCCAGCAAAACGTCCCAGAGGTCAGGAGACGAACACACCTGATGAGAGCTGGTGCAACACTCGTGTGCCTCCTGCAGTGTTTCTAATTAAAAAAACATCTGTCCTCTTTGTTTTTTAATCAAACACTCTGGTGCCTGAGCAAATTTATTCTTAGTTATTAACCAGAAAATATAAAATTACCTGTTGAAAAAGATTTTTGTAGCTATCAGAAACTGATGTATTGAATGATGTTATTGTTTGAAAACACTCAGCTTGCTGATTCAGTGGTTTTTTTTTTTGTTTCGTTTTTTCAGAATGGTCTGCCTCCACCGTCTCCCGGAGCGACTGGTGGCGTAGACTCGCTCCTCTCGCCACCCAGCGTGGCCTCGCTGCTCGACATCTCTCTGCCGGGTCCCCCTGAAGAGGCTCTCGTCCCCGGAGAACCTCAAACTCACATCAGCGACTCCCTGATCGAGCTGGCCATCAACTCCACGCACTACGGTAGGCGTCCTTCTCGATCCTACATTGAACTTTCTGATTACGTTTTAGGAAATTTCAGCTCTTCTTCAGGACTGGATGTGTTCCCAAAGTGATCAGTCGGTTTTATCCCTCTGTAAACTCAAGCACTTGCAACTATTCTTGACCTTTTCTCTTCCTACCTACAGAAATCCTCTAAAAACAGTACAGAGTTCTGCTCCCAGGATTTGTTCCTTTCAACTTTGTCTTGTTCAAACCTCAGACTTGTTTGTTGTGCTGCAGGTGAGGAGGCCGCTCTCTCTCCAGCCAAACTGGGCAACAGTGACCCGTCCAAACTGCTGGCCTCGTCCCCCTCAGTCAGCCCCTCCAGAGGATGGATCCCCTCACCTAGCCACGACCCCCAGTGGTACCCCAGCGACTCATCCGACTCCACCCTGGGATGCCTCCTCTGTAAGTCTCTCTCTTCATGAACAGCTGGAAAGAAGAAACTTTTTTTTGTTGCGTTCATCTGCTCGTGATTTGGTTGTTGGAAAGTCACAAMGAAACAATATTAACTGTATTTAAAGAAGGAAACCTCATTTATTTCTCTGTTCCYTCCTGCTCTTCACCATTTACCTGTTTATTTTTATTTCTTTAACATTTCCAGCCAGTATGGTCTCCCCTGATAAGGGCAGGCGGACCACCCTAACCCCCTCTGGCCCCTCCAGCGGCACAGCTTTGCTCGGCCCGAGCCTCTTGGACTGCAACTCTCACGACTCCTTCCAGTCCCGTGGCCTTCCTGACGTAGCAGAAGTAAGTTCTCTCACTTCCTGGTGTGAGCGCCCATAATTCTTCTCCCCGGATCTCAGACTCTCCTAACAGAGGAGGTGACAGCACGCAGAAGAAAAGGCTGTTTTATCAAATACAAGTTATTCTGGTTTATAAGAAGTCATTTTAATTCAACCTCACCTGAGAAATATATGTATATATTAACTAACAATTTTAAAGAATGTGTTGGTGTCTCACTTCCTCTTTTCAAATCACAGAAGCCAAAAGTGCCTCTTTTTTTTTAAAGAAGAAAAAGAAAAGAAAAAAGTGAAATGTAATGGGAAAGAGTGAAAGAGAGATTAGAAGATGTGTGAAATATATATCTAGAAAACACAAGACAACACACCTGACATCTGTCTGCACACCTGCAGAAACGGAGATAACAAAAACACAGCAACAAAAATGCTAATTTATATTATAATAAAGATTATAACCTTGCTGAAATAAAAATTGAACACGTCACCATTTTTCTCAGTAAATATATTACTAGAGGTGCTAATGACATGAAATTTTCACCAGATGTCGGTAACAACCCAAGTGATCCATACATACAAAGAAATCAAACCATAAATGTCCAGAAATGAAGTTATTTGTAATAATGTGGAATGGCACAGGGAAAAAGTATTGAACACACTTACTGAAATTTATCTAATACTTTGTACAAAAGRCTTTGTTGTCAATGACAGCTTCAAGACGCCTCCTGTATGGAGAAACTAGTGGCATGCATTGCTCAGGTGTGATTTTGGCCCATTCTTCCACACAAACAGTCTTCAAATCTTGAAGGTTTCGTGGACCTCTTCTATGAACTCTGATCTTTAGTTCTTTCCATAGATTTTCTGTTGGATTCAGGTCAGGTGARTGGCTGGGCCATTCCAGCAGCTTTAGTTTCTATCTCTGAAACCAACTGAGAGTTTCCTTGGCTTTGTGTTTGGGCTCATTGTCTTGCTGAAATGTCCAGCCACGTTTCATCTTCATCATCCTGGTAGATGGAAGCAGATTTTTATCAAGAATGTCTCTGTACATTTTTCCACTCATCCTTCCTTCAATTATTTGAAGTTTGCCAGTAKCATATGCTGAAAAACAGCCCCACACCATGATGTTCCCACCTCCAAACTTCACTGTTGGTATGGTGTTTTTGGGCTGATGTGCAGTGCCATTTGACCTCCAAACATGATGTGTATTCTGGCATCCAAACAGTTCAATTCTGGTCTCATCTGACCAGACTATWTTCTCCCAGTATTACACAGGCTTGTTTAAATGTTGTGCAGCAAACTTTAAAGGAGCTTCAACATGCTGTTTCTTCAGCAGTGGAGTCTTGCGTGGTGAGCGTGCATACAGGCCATGGTGGTTCAGTGCATTACTTATTGTTTTCTTTGAAACAAACGTACCTGCTGATTCCAGGTCTTTCTGAAGCTCTCCACAAGTGGTCCTTGGCTCTTGGACAACTCTTCTGATAATTCTTTTCACTCCTCTGTCAGAAATCTTGTGAGGAGCACCTGGTTGTGGTCGGTTTATGGTGAAATGATGTTCTTTCCACTTCTGAATTATGGCCCCAACAGWGCTCACTGGAACCTTCAGAAGTTTAGACATTCTTCTGTAACCGATGCCATCATTATGCTTTGCAACAATAAGGTTGTGAAGGTCTTGAGAGAGCTCTTTACTTTTACCCATCATCAGATGGTTCTTGTGTGATACCTGGCCATCATTTGGGACTGAACCAGCTGATATTAACTTGCACTGACAAGGGGCAGGCTTGCTTTCTAATTACTGAGAGTTCAGCTGATGTCTTGGCTTTCCATGCCTTTTTACACCTCTCTTTCTTCATGTGTTCAATACDTTTTCCCTGTGCCATTCCACATTATTACAAATAACTTAATTTCTGGACATTTATGGTTTGATTTCTTTGTATGTATGGATCACTTGGGTTGTTACCAACATCTGGTGAAAATTTCATGTCATTAGCACCTCTAGTAATATATTTACTGAGAAAAATGGTGACATGTTGAATACTTATTTTACCCGCTATATATATATATATATATACACACACACACACATATACATACACACGCACATACCATTCAGTCAGCGTCCGAACTGAAAACCCAGGATTTAAACACCTGTTTGTGTGCGGTTGTGAGCGTGTACTGTATATACAAGATCCCTCCAATGGAATGTTTAAAAAAGTACTTCTCAAAAAGATAAACCCACCCAATCTTCTCTAAAAAGCCTTTTCTTTCATCTAGATCTATTTTAGGAATTGAGAACATCTTCAAAATGTTTTTAGGGTTTCTGTGAAGCAGGCAGAAACCAAAGGTCCAAAATAGAGAAATGAAAAAAGGCTCTTGCATTTTATGTTTTAATGAAGATTTTTTTWAAGTGAACATTCTTTAATCAGAGTTGTGTTGAAATTAGAAGTTAAGCAGCAGCCTTGTAATAAAAAAACAGTTGATGAGTTACTGTGTATAAGCTTCTTATCTCGCTCCAGCAGAAGACCTGTTTTTTTTTTTGCCCTGGAAAATTAAAATAACTCCAGAGGTCCTTGACGAACCCTCTTTGTCTCGTCTCGGTCGCAGATGGACTCTCAGCTTGCCTGCATGATGAGCGAGAGCAGCGTGGACTACATCGCTCGCTTCAATGATCTGGCTCAGGAGCTGGCCGTGACCGAGCCCTCCATCCCGCCTCCCTGAGGAAGACCCCACAGCCATCTGGACGACTCGATGAAGAGGAGGAGACGAGGTCACTCCTAAGATTTTTTTTATATGCTTCAAAGGAAAAAAAAACGACTGTCCCGACTTCCCTGAAAGCCATCCTTGTTTTGTAAAAGTGCAATAATAACGGTGAACCTTGAGCTGTGTTCACTGAACTCTTCTACAATATAAAATATTATTTTTTAAAACTCTTTAGATAAATGTGTTTACTAAACACAACCTCTTGTATAAGAATACTATGCCATATCTGAACAAATTATTTGTATCATTTTTTCTGTTTCATCCTGCTCCATTTGTTCAAATTCCACTCCTTTAAAATGGACCCCAGACGTGTGAATCCTTAAAAATGTGCAAATAACACCTCGCCTGAAGCGTGAGTTTTATTTAAATTTTGTTGTTGTTTTTTTGTTTTTTACTAAAAAGCAGTGAAAAACAGAAGTTGAATGTGTTGAGGTACTTGTGATGATTGAGCTGCAGAAGTAGAGCACCAAGCAGCTGAGTAGAGATAAAATCTATCTTGGTGGTCTTCTTTTTTGTGTGCTTCCCCCTTCTCTTTTTAACAGTTCTGGACTGGAACCAGCTTTTTGATTTACATGCTATTTTTATTTTCTACTCATGAAACATGAGCTGAAATCATTCTTTCCCCTCACATTTTTTATTTGCTGAAATGTTCAGGTTAATTCTGTGCATAAAAGGGGTTAAAAGAAAAATATTTTTCACAGGTTAGTCGCTGGTGTTCCTCAAGGATTTGCTTTTGGTCCCTTTTTTTTTTAAAGATGCTCATCAGTTTTGGTGCAACATTTAACTCTTAACAACAGAGCTGATTTAGCTCAATTCTTGTGTGAATCTTGCAGTTCTGATTTCTTTGACGGTGCTGTTTTGAAATGTTCATCAACAGATGGTGGCTGAAAACGAGTGTTAAAAGCAGGAGTTTATACTTAAATGACAACCAGGGTGTAACTGGATTGAACACTAAAGCCATAGTTGAATAAACTTTTAAACATTTTTTAAACAAATTCTATAGCATTGTTTTCCTTTTGACTAAAACTGAATTGTAAGAAAAAACACTTTTGTGCAAAAGGATAATTGGCTTTAAACATCTCATTTYACACATCACTATTTGAGGTAAATTCACCCACAGAGGGGTTCTCAGCTGCATTACTGTGAACATCATTATTCAGAATGTACACTGCAGTACAGCTCATGCCATCATTCCACAAATATATTTATATATTTCCCCCCCAAATACATTTGTATCTTTACCTTCACAAAGCTCCTGGGATAATTATTGATTTGTCAAGYGTGAATCTAGTGACACCAGATTCTTTGTCCATAATGAACTGCAGGATTTCTTTTTTTTTTTCCCCTGTAGGAATTATTTGTACAAATGCCAATTCCTATATTCACTGCATTTTTTTTGTTGTTGTATATTGTAAATATATATTTAGACTATTTATTTTAAGCATTTTTCAAAAGTGTTTTCTGTTTAACTTAATATTGAGGTGACAACTAAAAAAGAAAACACAAGTTTTCAGTTTTGTAAAAAGCATTTTAAATTCAGTGTATAAAGATAGTTTAAAACAAAGTTTTTGTTGTGTATTTTGTGGTGAAAATATTCAAACTTTCACAAAGTTGGAATGTGTGCTTATGGATATCAATGGCAGTTTTAGGTTTATTTTCAAAGACAGGTTAATCGTGTCATGAATGAAAACATGCCAATTTATTTTTTACATTAAGTACTTTAAAGCTGCAGGGAAGTTAAACTGAGAGATGAGTATAAGGAGCTTAATGTGACACAAAAAATTATGCAAATTTTAATGTCATTTTTATTTTATATTTTAAGTATGCTTGGCAGATTTGGACAAATTTAGTGACAGAAGAAGCAGAAATCACATCTTTGTAAAAGTTGCAGATCACAGTGCTAGACGTATTCAACGTTAGAAGTATTTTAAAAACTCCGTACTAAATCTTTTTCTCAGCATTACAGAAACTTATTACACAAACAAAGTCAACAAATGTACAGGATACAGAAATGTGCTGCTCATCCAGATTGAAGAATATCGTGCCAAGACAGGAAACTGAAAAAAGCTGCATTTTCTGCACAGATAAGCAGCATTTCCTTTTCACTGACAAAAAAAAACATGTCCCAGAAACATCAAGTCAGTTAGCGTTACAGGGCTGAAAAAAAAAGGCTTCAATGGAGTGTCCAACCGTTCAGCCAAGACAAAAATAAATTACCCGCATTACAGTCTCCTCTTATTTCCCAGGTTCATCGTTAACGTTTGAGCATCGATTTTGACCAAATTTCTTCAAGTATTGCTGAACAGACACCTGGTCACTCTCAGGTATTAAAACAACAAATCCTGCAGCACACGGGCTCCTGGTTATTTGATGCACTGCAAACAGCTGGTACAGAGCTCAGWCCTTCTACATTTTAAATCTGTTTGGCCTCCTTGTTCCTGATTTGGTCCAAGTCATTCCCAACACAATCCCTCACCTGCTGCAGTGTCACTCCGTTTTAGCCTTTCCMTCCTTGCGAGCGCGAGACGACATGACTTTGAAGAAGAGCGTGGGCCACAGAGTGCGGAGGTAGATRGCCACCGAGGGCAGAGGTCCGGCCAAAACCACATCTTTACTTTTCTGGCAAACCGCCTTTAAGACTGCGAGAGCCACATCTCTGGGGTGCCAACCGGACGCCGTGGTTTTATCCATAACTGTAGGAAATAATAAAGAGACAAGAAACATCAGACGTACAAGAAGTCAAAACTTGTTTATTTTGACTTTAGAGAACTCATTCAGCTGCTCTCACATGTAAGCAGTGTTGTATAAAGTACCACAAAGTGGTACTTGAGTAAAAGTAAGTATCTTACCATAAAATTACTTTGGTAAAAATTAAAGTTTCCTCTAAGAACATTACTTGAGTAAAAGTCTTAAAGTATCTGATATTTCTTGTACTTAAGTATCAAAAGTAAATTTCTGACATAAAATGTACTTAAGTATTAAAAGTTAAAGTATTGAGAAAAAATGCGAGGTTAGATGTTCAAAAATGATATTTATTGGAAGATGTACTTTCCAAAAAACATTTTCTAAATGACTATTAAAATATTAATATTAAATTTTTTTAGGATGCACTAATGTAGCTGTGTCAGATATATACTGTATTTATATGTACAGTACTGTAAACTACCTAAGTGGCCAATGAGCTGGCACATGGTCATATGTCATCTCAAATTGAACATTTCATGTTTAAATGTCTGTTAGATTACACATGACCCTGAGATGAACAACTCCTGTAGTTTGGCCTTCTACATCTTTGGCCTTGGTTAAACCAGCTCTCCACACTCTCCACACCAAGCAACAAATATCTGTCTTTTGCACAGAACAAATGTTTTATTTGTTAGACTGATTTTTTTAAATACTATTGTATTCAAAAAGTTTATATTTAGATGGTTTCAGCTCATGTAATCATTTAAAATTATTTATTCTTCATATTTTATCATTTATTGAATTACATTTATCCCAGAGCAGTTGTGTCACAGTATGATTCTAAATATAAACATGTTTAGCACACCAAGAAACTTGTTCTTACCATAAAATTGTGAAGAATGAAATTTGTGGATCTTTCTGATAAATTAAAGTAACATTAAAAAAACAMTCATCTAGAGAACATGGCAAGTTTTTATTTTTATTTTTGGATGGGGGGGTGATGTTAAACAGAGACTCATCTTTGCTTTGATATGGGGCAAATAAATGTTCTTCTGTTTGAGGTAATATGGTTTAGAAGAACTCAAACAGTGAATCTCACAGAAGCCTGCGTGCGCTGAGGCSTGTTCCCGTCTCTCAGGAGGAGAGTTTAGTTACTGATGCAAAGTTGGACAGATCTGCTCGATAACGACGCTCTGAACATATATTTAATATAAAGTTAGGTTTTAAAGACCAAAGTTTCTGGTAGTTCAGGAGCAAAGTGCAGGAGGAGATGTCAGGACTGATCACTGCAGCTGCTGCTTCCACTGCCTCTGCTGAAAACTGCTCTCAAGTCCCGCCCTGCTCTGCTCTGATTGGATAAAACAGCTCTGGAGTTTGTCTGATTTGTTGAAAGCAGTGTCCGTTTAATCCTTACATCAGGGCCCCGCTGCCCTCCTCTGACAGAATAACGATCCAGTCACACCAGTGAGGCTGGATTTTTTGTTTTGTTTTGTTTGTTTTTAAGAAATCAGGTCACATTTGCGACCCTGCTAGCTGTTGTTTTCACAATCTCAGGTACAATCTTAGGTTCTCAAGAGAGCTTTATAACATTCCATCTGGTGCGATTTTTCTTTTTTTGATCGTGCACCTGCGCACCACTTACAGGTGCTGGTCATAAAATTAGAATATCATGAAAAAGTAGATTTATTTCAGTAATTCCATTTAAAAAGTGAAACTTGTATATTATATTCATACATTACATACAAACTCATATATTTCAAATGTTTATTTTGTTTAATTTTGATAAGTACAAATGACAACAAATGAAAATCTCAAATTCAGCATATCAGAAAATTAGAATCTTGTGAAAAGGTTCAAAATGGATGGCACCTGGTACCACTAATCAGCTAATTAACTCAAACCACCTGCAAAGGCCTTTAAATGGTCTTTCAGTCTAGTTCTATAGGCTACACAATCATGGGGAAGACTGCTGACTTGACAGTTGTCCAAAAGACGACCKTCGACACCTTGCACAAGGAGGGCAAGACACAAAAGGTCATCGCTAAAGAGGCTGGCTGTTCACCGAGCTCTGTGTCCAAGCACATTAATAGAGAGGCGAAGGGAAGGAAAAGATGTGGTCGAAAAAAATGTACAAGCAAGAGAGATAACRYCACCCTGGAGAGGATTGTGAAACAAAACCCATTCAAAAATGTGGGGGAGATTCACAAAGAGTGGACTGCAGCTGGAGTGAGTGCTTCAAGAACCACCACACACAGACGTATGAAAGACATGGGTTTCTGCTGTCGCATTCCTTGTGTCAAGCCACTCTTGAACCACAGACAGCGTCAGAAGCGTCTTGCCTGGGCTACAGAGAAACAGGACTGGACTGCTGGTGAGTGGTCCAAAGTCATGTTCTCTGATGAAAGTAAATTTTGCATTTCCTTTGGAAATCAAGGTCCCAGAGTCTGGAGGAAAAGAAGAGAGGCACTTCATCCACGTTGCTTGAAGTCCAGTGTAAAGTTTCCACAGTCAGTGATGGTTTGGGGTGCCATGTCATCTGCTGGTGTTGGTCCATTGTGTTTTCTGAGGTCCAGGGTCAACGCAGCCACATACCAGGAAGTTTTAGAGCACTTCATGCTTCCTGCTGCTGACCAACTTTTTGGAGATGCAGATTTCATTTTCCAACAGGACTTGGCACCTGCACACAGTGCCAAAGCTACCAGTACCTGGTTGAAGGGCCATGGTATCCCTGTTCTTAATTGGCCAGCAAACTCTCCTGACCTTAACCCCATAGAAAATCTATGGGGTATTGTGAAGAAGAWGKWGCAATACACCAGACCCAACAATTCAGAAGAGCTAAAAGCCACTATTAGAGCAACCTGGGCTATCATAACACCTGAGCAGTGCCACAGACTGATCGACTCCATGCCACGCCGCATTGCTGCAGTAATACAGGCCAAAGGAGCCCCAACTAAATACTGAGTGCTGTACATGCTCATACTTRTCATGTTCATACTTTTCAGTTGGCCAACATTTCTATAAATCCTTTGTTTTTATTGGTCTTCAGTAATATTCTAATTTTCTGATATGCTGAATTTGAGATTTTCATTTGTTGTCATTTGTAATCATCAAAATTAAACGAAATAAACATTTGAAATATATGAGTTTGTATGTAATGTATGAATGTAATATACAAGTTTCACTTTTTAAATGGAATTACTGAAATAAATCTACTTTTTCATGATATTCTAATTTTATGACCAGCACCTGTATGTGCAACTCTGTTTATACGTCTCATTCAACCACAATTAGATCAACTCTATCCAGGAGGCACAATTTATCTTTACATTATTTCTTTTAATAAGAAGCCGAATGAACTAAAAGCAACGACTCTATACTTCTTGCCCTTTTTAAAAATGTAAAGAGTAGAAAGTACAGATAATTGTGTGAAAACGTAAGTAGCAGAAGTAAAAAGTAGGCTGAAAAATAATTACTCAAGTAAAGTACAGATACCCAAAATTTATACCTAAGTACAGTAACAAAGTATTTGTACTTAGTTACTTTACAACTCTGCATGTAAGAAAAACCTAATGCTGTCAGTTCTGCATAACTGTAGTTGATAATTTTCTGAGCAGAAAAAGCAGCCATTAAATCTAAACTGCAAATGTCTTATTCTTCAAATATAATTTATCTTTAATTTCTAAGAGTTTAACAAAAAGTTTAGGAAAAAGAAAACCTTCGCAAAGAGTTATCCAAACAGATGAAAAGCTTAAATGGTTTATTTTTATATTTACTTTGTATAAGAAATGATTTAACACTTTAGAAAAATTGGACGGTTTAATTTTCACTAAATAAACCAGTTATTCTTCCCGTATGTCTCACCTCCATACGTGGAGCCGTCTCCGGTGACGGCATTGATGGATAAGTTGGTCTGGATGTAGCCCGGGCTGATGACTGTCACTGGGATCCCGAAGCACTCGACCTCTGCTCGCAGGCAGTCAAAGTAAGCCTGGGCGGCGTGTTTAGACGCTGCATCTGAGCACATCAAACACAAACATTTGTCAAGCTTTACTTGCGTTCTGCCTGGAAAACGGATGAGAATGACTCGCACGTGGGTCGAGTCGAGTGAAGAAGACTGACAAGCAGATCTGTAGGGAATGGCGATCTTTCCCTGGACGCTGCTGATGAAGACGACGTGGCCYCTGCGCCTCTGAACCATCGACGGCAGGAGGGCTGTGAGGGGAAAAGAAACAGAAACAGATGGCAAGTGGGTTCTGCACACTGGATTTTCYCTGAAGGATTTACAAAAAAATATTTTGACACCTTGTCAAATATTTTGAATTAAAAAAGAGCTTCTCAGAGAGAAAGGAATTTAAAAAATGATTGTTGCTGATGTCTTTTATTGTTAACCAGGAAATGATGCTTGTTCTGGCTTCTAAATAAGATATCCTGAAAAAYGTTAAGCTCATAGTTCTCTATAAAGACATCTGAAAAACATAACAGACGTCTTTCAGACCAAGGTTTTAACTTTTGGATCTTTGGGTAATTGAATTTGTCAGCCCTGAATAAGACAATCCACACTTTCTAACCTTGAGTAAGAGCAATGGGTCCAAAGTAATTAGTTTCCATCACGTCTCGCTGAACTGAAATGTGCGTGTCAAGTATGTTGCCACGATAGCTGARCCCAGCGTTATTAACGAGAACGTCTACGTGTCCGTAACATTTCAGGATGTCCTCCGCAGCTTTGTCCACAATTTCTGCTTTAGCCAGGTCGAAGACAACAGTGCTGGGAGTGAATGTCTTTTGGATAGACAGGAAAAAAAATGGTATTTTTCAATTTTATTAAACTTAAAGTCTTTGTTTGATCATTTTAAATGCATCTTGATTGTGTGTGCATATTTGCATGCCTGCTGCTGGGTGCTAGTTGAATTTGCTGTGAGTTCCTCGACCACTCGTTGCAGGCGGGTTGCATCTCTTCCACACAGGACAAGCCGAGCACCTGCAGCATGGAAGACTCGTGCACACTCTACAACAACAACAACACAACACTATTACATGCAGGAAAATATGAGTGAGATGAAGTGATATTATGTAATGAAAAGTGCAGAAGGCTGACCTTTCCCCAGTCCAGAGCTGGCCCCTGTGATGACAACAACCAACCCTTGGACAGAAGCTCCCTGTCTGAGGCGGAAAAGTAGCCTGATCAACAAGAAGACTCCAACACCTGATAAAATGAATGGAAGCATTCCTCCTGTTACACGCTCCATGGCCGACAGTCACTCCGCCTGGCTGCACACAAACACAAGTTACATCAGTAACAATAAGTTGTTTTTTTAAGGTTTCCTAATTCTAATTTAAATCATAGCTTTACACTGTTCACGCCATGCCGTCATCATCAGCATGCTGTCACGGCTAATCCTAATGACGCTAATGCTAACGTTAGCTGTTAGCTATCATTTGACGTGTAAATAATAATTTGTAGCTTACAAAATTGTTACTTTAAGTTGAAGCAGGAAAAAAAACTGACCCAAATGGATGTCCAACGGTGCAAGTAAAGTGTGTCGCCGAAAACGAGTAGTTCCTGTTTGGCTTCTTCGACGAACTTCAGCCTGATGCGCGCACCGCACAGAATTGTGGGAATTGAAGTCCAAGACCGAAAGTCTTTTATCCYACATCCAGCAAATTACCCAAGTAGGATCCTTTCTTGTACGTCAAATCTGGCTTGTTTGTTGGAGTAAAACTTTCAAAACACTTTTTATATAAAAAATAATCATCTTTGTGTTTTTAGCACATGATGGGCAATATTTAATATAGTCATATAATAAATGTGATGTATCAGTCACATGGAGGCAGTGCTTAAAAGCCTGAATTTTGCCTGAAACTCTCAGACTGAAGAAGTCTCTTGGAGAAGAGACGAAACGTTTCATTTGAGAAGAACCCGTCCAGAAGACCTATATTTTTTTTTCTTTTTGATAGTCATATAACTGCATTGAAAGTTACTTGTCACAATAAATTGTAAAGCATTCTATGAAGCCTTTTTGTTAGAAATTGCATAAGAATTTTTTTAGCGTAATTAGTACGCTCGGTTGAAAAACTGTATGTCTCCTTAATAACCTACATTATTGTTGTCTAAATTTAGTCTGTATAAAATCCTTATAATTTAAGTCTTACAAACCAAACATTGGATTTTATGAGGATTCTGGATGCAGAAAAAACCTCATTAACCTGGCAAGTGCACCTATTTTAGAAAAATGTTAGATTTAAATGACATAGATTTAGGCAATATTCATTTTATGGAAGAGACACTTTTAGCACCCAGACTGAAGACCAAAAAAAAAAATCTGCTTTATGGTTTTTACCTCTAATATGGTTTTTGGATGAAAGCTTRTATGTAAAAACTGCTTGTTTTGGTAGCAGATTAGCTAACAAATAATTAGCGGTCCTTGCTAGGTACAAATTAAACTCAAGTGTTCATTCTTCCCGGTCCCTGCTTCGGGACTATTCCACCCATCTCAGAAGCACCGTATGACTCATACAGAAGAAATAACAGGGGTGATGTAGTTGTACTCTTGAACATTTGAAAGATTTTATTTAAATTTTCAAGTGAGGAAATGCAAGCTCTGCAAAACGCTGCATGCCTGTGGTTGTGCCCATCCACCAGCCAACACTCAAAGCTGAGCTCACAGTTGGTGGTTGTGTGGAAAATAGAAAAGCTAAGTTTGAGAATCAACTCTTCTCAGGTCCTTTTATATACACACTGTACATTTATTATTAGAAAACTGTGTTCCACCTAAGCACCACAGGAGGAAGATAAAAGCACRAGATTGTAAATTTAAAGTTAACAGTGTTAAGAGTTGAACATTTACAGCTGTTCTGTAAGCCTTTTGTACTCAGGGAAAAGAATGTTTCTTTGTCAAAAAAAAAAGTTTCAGAAGCAAAACGTTCATGTGATCACAGACGTCTAATCTGAAACTGTTCGACATGAACGCCACCAATCCTCAATCTGCCCGCAACGGACAATTAGATCAGTTTTTCATTGGTGTCTACAGAACAGTGAAGCAGTTTATATATCTGGATTACAGTTTATTATCCAGTTGTCGTAAGTCTCCTGTTATACTACAACTTCATTTTTACAGTTTTCCTCGTCCTGTTAGGAGCACCGCTACCTCCAGAGAGGAACACCATGGCAGAAACAAACGATATAGATATTTGATGCGTATTATCTGCAGCATTAAAGTCTCTACATTGGCTTTGTCTTGATGTTAATGTAATATACAAGATGAGAGGAAACCACGGGAGCTGTGTCGTCCATGAACTTAATTGGATTCATTAATGCCAGACAGCCTACTTGAACAAGACAACCTGATTTAACTTGGATCTAGTCACTCCTCTCCGGACATGACGAAAAACAAAAGTAAAAAATACAGAAAAGTACGTTTGAAATATCCTAATATTTAATGAAACGTGTACTGATCAGCAAAAAAGGGGTACAGTTAAACTATGGGGGAAAGAGGAGAGCGCAAGATACACGAAACATGTCTACTTCAAAACATTTGAGTCCAGAAGGAACTGCTGCCGTCGTCCTTTTTGCACTAGCTTTGCTGTGTGAAGAAGATAAGGAGGGCAGGGGAGCTGGCGCAAAAGTACTACGGCGATAGGTGTGCTGTTGTTGTCACATAGAAGTAAAGGAAATGTATGGGGGGTGGGGGTCCCTTCTAGTTTTAACTATATCCCTCTGATCAAAGTTCAAAGTGGAAGCAGCCACCTCAAGTGGAGCTAACCACTGGGCCTGATAGTGACTTCCATTTTTCTTACATCCGGGGTGGGTATGTTCTGMTTTTTTTGTTTTTTCTGATGGTTTTTACATTTTTTTTTCAGAGTGCACTCATACATAGAGTTCGTAGATCTTTTTGGCGCAATACACCAGGGCAGCCAGTGCTATCATGTTATGGAGTCTCTTTCTGTGGACGTCGTCCCTGCGTACCAAAACCACGGGCGTCGAGGAGGTCAGTGTGTGCAGGGGCAGCCGTGACAGTTTCTGGCTGTCGTATTCCACTTGGTACTTGCAGCAGGGATCAAACTGCCACGAAATCCCGTAGAGCGCGGCGCAGGCCACGCTGAAGGCGCCGGCGGGCAGCGCCATGTAGCGCGAGTACTCGGCGGGCAGCGACAGCGGTGTCAGGAGYCACGCGGCGCCTGACAACACGGCCGTCTTGTGCAGGCAGTTCCCCACCGTGATCCAGCGGGCCGTCTCGTCCCCGATCCGCGTGGGCTCGATGACGATGTACTTGTACTGGGCCTCCAGCGCCTGCTCCAGCTCATACTCGAACTGGTCCTGGGCGTTCTCGCCGTTGTAGATCTCGTGCACGATGTAGCAGTCTGACGCCGCCATCACTGCCCTGCGCAGAAACAAAAAAGGAATGCCCTGGTTACGATAGGAAAGCCGCATCACAAGAATTTGTGTTTTGTGTATCTTCAGCCTAATTAGTTCATTCTTACTCGGTCTTTAAGCTAACATTCTTATCGCAACATCAAGGTGACTTAAAAACAATTATATTATTTAAACACAAATAATGCAAAAAATAAAAATCCATTAAGCTGAGAGGTTGTACACACAGGACTACATTTTAACCAACTTTATGCTAACGTATTACCACAAAAAATTAAAAAATTTACTTATTGATGATCTGCTCAATTTGTATAAATAAATGACTGCATAGTCTTTTATAGGGGTGTAAGAAAATATCGATACACTGAAATATCGCAATATTTCATTTCCCCATACTGTATCGATATTCTAAAGCCCTGTATCGATTTTTTTATTAAGGTTTAAAACGTCAACTTTCCTGCCAGCCACTCATTTTTATGTTGTAGTTCAGCCTCTGACCACTAGTTGGCAGCAGTGAGCCAGCCATTTGGCTCCTCTATCTTTTGAGCGCCAGAGAGTAAGAGACCATTAGCATTGTAAGTAAACATTAGCTTCATGCTCCGATAGCTGAATCTGAGCGGAAAAGACCGACACCCTCTCAAAAAAATCGCAATATATCGCCTTGCTTACAGTATCGCAATATATCGGGATATATTGTATCGTGACCGCTCTGTCATGATATGTATCGTATCGCCAAATTCTTGCCAATACACAGCCCTAGTTTTTTAGAATCAACTTGAACTCGTCTGAACGTTCACTTATTGTGTCACTTTTCACTTCGCACAGTCAAGATATTAACAAGTATTGAGAAATACCTTGGTAAAAGTTTCCTCATAACCTTGTGTATGAGAGATGTGGGAAAAGCTTAATTCACCTTAAGCTCACTTTTACGATATTAATTTCGCCCCCTGTCCAAAAGGTTTTTTTTTTTTTTTGTGCCACTTCATTCTGAACCTGTGAAAAGACTCCAGGGATAAGAATGTGTCTTAAACAAATGAGCACTGAGACAATTATGAATCCGACTTTTAGATCCTCTGTTCCCACCAGCCTGTCACACAAACTGTTCTCATTTCTTTAGCTGAAAGCCAGAGATTTCAAAGGCAGAAAATAGTATTTTAGCACCAACAAGATGATTCCCAAAGAGAACCTGGCAGAAACTTTTGATGAAGACCACTTAAAAATATCAGAAGAAAGTCTGGCTGCTTAGACGCAAAATGAAAAGGAATGTTTTAAAACTKTTTCATGGTGTTTTATAAACCAAAATAATCAAGTCTTTGCAAGTTTTGTTAGTTTAACCACTGCTATTTTTTCCTTTCAGGCAATTTTATCTGTTAAATATAAAATATATGAAAACTCCGTACCTGCTAAGAAAATAACATATTAACTCGTTCGTCTTTGAAGCTAACGACCTTGTGGCTAAAAATTATTTGAGGGCACTTGTCTTGAGAACATGTCTGCGGTGTGCTTCAGCAGGGGACACCCAGCCTTTAGCTCGGTCGCTTTCATGGTCAAAAGTTGGAAGGCTGGCCAGCTGAGTTCAGGACCGATTTACTCTCAGAGCAGCTCAAACAGCGGACACTAGCAGCCGAAAGGCAGATCTTTGCAGCAAAAATAAACCTGACAAATCATCACCGAGTTCCAAACGACGCGTGGAACAAAGCACGTTTCCCCCACAGTGACATGACTGCAGTGTGAGGCTTAAATCAAGAGCAGACAGTTGAGTTCCCCGCTAACGACGGCAGCTATTAGCCAGCTAACGTTAGCTAATCAGGGGGYTAAAATTACATTTGTCTTATCTTGGCATTGGAGTTTGTATCCTAAATGAAGTGCATGGTCGGGAACGGTGTGTGCCACCGACAAAACTTTGTCTCTTATGAAAATATTTTCGCTTTACGGCCAAAATGTGGAGTAACTGACCTCTCCCTGCTAACTGGGACACCGCGCCTCCTTCCCAGCGACGCCATGTTGGAAAAAACAACTGTGATTTTAGTTGACGTAAAACAACCCGGTGAATCCTGGGTATTGTTGTCCGCACATACACTTGACGCTTCAATAGAACCCATYGTATGGACTACAATTCCCATGGTGCTATGCGGGAACAGAACCTGCAGCACGTATTTTTGCAACTGCACGAGTTTGAGAGGTCAGGTTAGTTTTTTATTTAACAAAGCAAAACACAATGAATGCATATTTGATTAAATTAAGGTAAATAATTAAAATTTAACCTAACTTCAAATAAACTAATCACCTTCTAAAATACTCACCCATATTGTGCCCTTGTCGCGTGCTCTTGTCAGTCCGCGTGCTGTAACCTGACGTACTTGGATGTTAATGGCTATTGGCTACGTTCAGGAATGTAGCTCGATTGGAAAATACTGTGCGTGATGATGTAACCACTTCAACCTAATTGAGCAGCACTACTGAGTAGTAGAAATAAAACCATGGAGAACATTTAATCCCGTTAATTAATTTCAGTGATTAAAATTATTTATAGTTATTTTTTTTATTCTAAGCTGTTTTTAAACGCGGACATTTCAAAACTAGAGCAAATAATAAGTGTGGCACCTATCTGTAGTCCATAGACTTAAATATATAGATCATCTGTTCTATAGAGACTCCTTGCTGTAGTCCAATTTTATTAAGGCACAACGATACACTATTGACAATTTCATTAAAAATAAACAAAAACAGATAAAATATATATGTATACTTATACCGTAGATGAGCTGATTGTTTCATCACACGCGTATTTTCAGTAAAATATAAACAGAATAAAGAATTAAAAACAGTATGTTTTCAAATATTTTCCCAAATGAATCGCTTGGTGAAACTGTCGTTCCTTATACCGCCACCAGATGGAGCCAAAGGCTGCGATTACGCACAGAATGGCTTTGAAAGCGTTATAAACAGCTTTAATTAGTTGAGTTTATTCAGTAAAAATAATGCACATACATATTTAAAAAGATGCATAAATTAAAAATACTTGGATGACACAAAAAATGAAGACGCGTTTCCATTGTGGCAAAATACACAATCAAAATGACAAAATGGGTTGAAATAACAAAAATAATAAATACCAGTAAACAGAAACAAACATATGAATCTTTATAATCCAGAAAATATAATACAAACAAAGGACTGTAAGACTTGAATACAAAAAGGAAAGTTAAATGAATTATAGGGCCTTCCTCTTAAAGGTAGCTGGTTTAAAAATTTGAGATTTAAATATTCATTTTCTAGAAACTGACAGTATTCTTAAGATCTTTTTATCCTGTAGCACCAGTGTAACTTAAAGAGGACAGGTCATTTTGTAAAAGAAATAACTAAAGAGAACGAGATGGATCAGTTCTGTTTAAAGTGAAAAAAGCTGTTAGAAAAATATTTAAGTGTATTTTTTACAGAATTTTAGTCCCAGTTTCCTTAAACACTGAACCTTTGTACCGGCCCACTTTTAGAATACGTTGTTGTTCCAGWGATGAACCAGTTGTTTCTACATATTAGGCACACTCTTTTGTTTTGCCACAAACGCACAGCATAAACAATGTGATAAGAAGCCTTTTTTTTATTTGGAAAAAGTACAGGAAACAAATCAAGTATAAAACAGTGTAACAAGAACATTAAAACATTTTGACACTGATTTCAGAGAGACCCACCTGCTCAAAACACAAGTCTGACATTTGTTTTTAACAAAACACACAAAAACCTAAAGCTTACACAATAAAGACTTAATGCCTTGGCCTCTATGCCCCCCAAAAGAAACGTTTTAAAACGGGACTTATTTTTATTATTATTGCAGTTCTTGATAAGAATGTCGAGTGCCCTGAGGTGTGCTCCTGCTCAACACTTAAGATTGTRCACAGCAATTTGTTTTTCCTGTAAAATATTTATGAGGTTAACCATATTATTTTGACATCGGCTGGTTAAAAACAGACCCTGTAAAAGCAGAAAAAGAATCAATCAGATTTAAAACAGCAACAAATATTGACAGAACCTGCCCTGAATAGAAGAGTGATGCTAGTTTGAATAAAGTTATTTATATAAATTCAACACTGAAATAATAAATTGCACGGACATCAGACCATCGTCTCTATTAACTCAGTCAGGTTAGACCTTCTTGCTACATTGAGGTTTAAAGATCCACCTTTAATCCACCAATGAATAAATTCAGGACCCAAAAAACATGTTTTTTTTTGTTAATTACAGGGGAAGAATGGCTTTAAGTTTTAACCAAATGAAGCTTTAGGTAAGTTAATCTTTTCAAAATACATATTTAAAACCTGGAAAAAACATAAAAATGCATAATGTTTAGTTTTTAGGATGCATTTCTCACACACCATCATTCACAACAAGATCTCCACACTTGTTTAAAGAAGGGGATAACTAAAACTAGTAAAAAGTATATAAAAAAGGAGCTATAATAAAAAAAAAGTCAATGCCATCAGAGTGCAAGTGGAACCACCARGATACCAAGTGGGTCGACCCGAAGCCCGTGCTCAGTGAGGAGCATCAACAAGCTGTGAGATGGGATCTGGTTCACACACCGAACACCTGCGTCGAGTCAGCGCTGAGAGTCTACCCGGACCTGTCCGGCACCACACTTTGGTTCTTTAACACGTTTCGCTCACTTCCTGCACGCAGTCCCCTCATGTTTATGGATGTAAATGACCCTATGTTCAGCTCTCACACATCGTTGGGTTTGGTTTTTTTGTTGCGCGAGATCACCTGGATTCGCTCGGCGCTTCCCTCCTGAGAGTCTCTTTGACGTCGCCACGTGGGGTCATTGATAGATGTGTTCGAAGTACTGAGGCTGAGGATTCTCTTTGACGTATTTCTGAATGTACCAACAAGTCAGGTGAGCTTTCAGGTCCTCCTCCACCACAAAATCCATGGCTGCCTGACATCACATAAAAACACTAATTCAGTTCTTTCAGTGAATTATTATCATCTTTATAGCAAATGCTAAATAATGTGTACCAGCTACTAGGGCTGTGTATTGGCAAGAACTTGGCAATACGATACATATCATGACAGAGGGGTCACGATACGATATATCCCGATATGTTGCGATACTGTAAGCAAGGCAATATATTGCGATTTTTTGTCCAAAAATTCTATTAAATAAAAACCTCTTACTGGAAAAAAATGAAAAACCAAAATTCATTGTCTCAGAAAATTCTAATATTACATAGACATACTTTTGATACATTTAGCTGTGTTCTGCTTTGTATGCGTTTTATTTTATTTGTTTCATATTGCTTATTTCATCCATGTTTTCAATTATTAGACTAAATTTTGCCAATAAATAGTTTTAAAATGTATTTTTTTTACAGCTTTTAGTTTTTAATGTCAATTTACAAAATGGTCACCCAACGCTTAACAATAGCCTCTACCTCAAGAGGTAGAGGAGCCAAATGGCTGGCTCACTGCTGRRAACTAGTGGTCAGAGGCTGAACTACAACATAAAAATGAACAGCTGGCAGGAAAGTTGACATTTTAAACCATAATAAAAAATCGATACAGGGCTTTAGAATATCGATATAGTATCAGGAAATGAAATATCACAATATTTCAGTGTATCGATATTTTCTTACACCCCTACCAGCTACTCAAAACGTAAATACTGTATAACGTACAGTATAATGTATAATGTACTAAGTGTATAATGTACTAAGTAATGCAGTGTTTGAAGACATTTTTTAAACCAAATCTAAGAGTCAAATGTTAAATACCTTTGCCAGGTGTTTGGCGATCCCTCTCCCTCTATAAGCATCAGGAACTTCTGTGTGTTGCAGGTCCACRGTCTTCTTCCCGACGTATTCATAAAGAAGAACGGCTCGATCCTGAGATCCTGGGAGCAGAAAAAAAAACCTGTAGGATTATCTCCAAACAAATTTGTTTAGAACATCAAGATTGATGTTAATCCACTTCTGATTTCATTATATTTTGTTTAATAGCGACCAGAACTCCTGATCACATTTTAAAGTTGTCTTCTTTATTGGTTSTTCAGGCTTTCTGAGGAGATTTCAAAGATGTTCTGGCTGCTTTTCCACAAGTTTTTAGTTCAGTCTTRGGCAGCGTATGGTGCAGTGTGTGCTTTAAAAAAAAACAAATAAGTGGAAAAGCAGAAAATATAAGAAGTGTCAGCAGGTTTTGAAACTACTACTCAAAGCAAATGAACAGTGACTGGAAGTCTTCTCTTTGTAAATAGTAAAGAATCCAGCAGACCTGACAAATGACCCGAGAAGCAAAGAAAAAACGATCAATTATTTCAGCCAAACTGTGTTATCTTTGCTATTTTTCATAAATTCAGCTAAAGACTGTCTCCGTGACAAACAGCTGGGAACAAGATTTAATTTAAAATCAATATTTTAAGTGGTCTAACAATTTAAAGGATAATTAAATAATTGGTGATGTAAGATTTCCCTTATATGTATTACAAAAACACAAAATAAGTATAAATAAGTATTTATATTTGTGCAGCCTTTGTTTTTAGGGTTATTAACAAAGTTTGTGTACTCAGACCAGTAATATTTGGGGTCACAAGTTTTTGCCATGAATATTTTGTGGGTCAGAAGATAAAAAGTTTGGGAACCACTGGTCTAGTCAACAAAACATATGGTCCATCTCTTGAGTTGAGGAGTCATTATTTATACCTGAATGGTTTATAGGTTGGATTTAATGGCTTATCAAASTAAAAGTCAGAAAACTACAAGAAATTAGGATTAAAACCACTTCAAAGACTACAAAAAAAGCAAAATCTAAAAAAAAAATTAAGAATGACTGAAATGTTTTGCACAGTGCTGTACAARTCTACAGTAAGGCAACAATAGGAAGACATGCTGCTGATAAAAGAGAACTATTTATAAGCTGTGCATCAAAGTCAGGAAGAAAACTGGGCACAATATTCCAGGGAATTACATTTGGTTTTAGTCAATAACTCTTAAAAAGTAATGTTTTCCAAGCGTAAACAATTATAAATTCTTCAGAGTAAATGTAAACATCAACTCGGACTCATAATTCATTCATTATCATTTAAACCGACTGCAGGACAGGATTACGTGAAGGGAAAATAAAGATGTGYAGGAGGAACAGCTGCTTTTTAAAAATACAACAAAAAAAGTGAAGTTACACGAATAAAACTGTCTGTGATCACATTTCTGACAAGACTCGGGTCTTTTCCCCCACAGCTGTGTGAACAGAACAACGCAGCTGTGTCCGAAATGGCAGCTGGAGTCCTTCATGAGGCTAACGACAACAATGTTAGCAGAAAAAAAGCTAAAGCTAACCTGCGCGTGCTTACAAAACGAAAACACCCCCTTACCGTTCAGCCTGATGATGAACTGCCGACGCTTTTTATCGTGTTCCACCTGAATCTGAGAGCTGCTCGTGTCAAACACATTCGTAGCTTGTGCCATAGCAGTGGTGTTTACTGACGGCGAGACCTGCAGCTAACCAGAAATGGCTACATGAGAGACGATGATGAACCGCAGTCAGAGCAAAACYTGCATCTGAATCAGCTGTGAGGTCACGTGACGGCCAGCCAATCAGCTTCCAGGTTGTCAGGAAGGCATGTGGAAGTAAATACAACAGATTTTATAACATAACTCTGACAAATAAACAGATATGCACGTAGAATGCTGTGCTTTGTATCATCCAATAAACCAAACTTCTTATTTTGTTTTTAATAATTAACTCTTCAGGCTTTATGAAGCTTTTTCACATATTTTAGGCTACTTTAGTTTTTTTTTTTCAGCTTTTGTCAACTTCTATTATTTAAAAATGTTAATTATTAGAGTCACTTAAAACTATAATAGCTGTCGAAATATGCACATATTTAGTGTATTCAATTATAATTTTTAGACTTCTTACACAGTTTCTACAGCATAATTGTATGGGAATTAATGTCACTCAAACTCTGGATTTTTACAAAAAATTGCTTTATAAAACAGTTCTGTCTTTGTTTTAAACTAAATTCAGCTATCAATATTTCAATATATCTCAGCAGCTCATTTGCTTATATGATCTTAGCTCCAAATTCTGCTTTAATGCTATCCACTGCTCATTTTTTTGTRCACAAAATTAGTATATTTATACAAATTCTTCTCAGAGCAAACAGGAGTCACATGTGGAGTACCCCAAGGTTCAATCCTGGGACCGCTTCTATTTAATATTTACATGTTCCCACTAGCCCAGATTATAACAAGTTAGTTAGTTAGTTAGTTAGTTAGTTAGTTAGTTAGTTAGTTAGTTAGTTAGTTAGTTAGTTAGTTAGTTAGTTAGTTAGTTAGTTAGTTAGTTAGNGTTAGTTAGTTAGTTAGTTAGTTAGTTAGTTAGTTAGTTAGTTAGTTAGTTAGTTAGTTAGTTAGTTAGTTAGTTAGTTAGTTAGTTAGTTAGTGTAACTATGCAGATGATACACAGCTTTGTATCACTTTATCAGGTCCGGACCCATGGACAAATTAACACGTGGATGTGCAAAATTTTCTCCAGCTGAACAAAAACAAGACTGAAGTTATTATCTTTTTATCTTTTGACCTGAAGAGGAATGATCAAGAGTCAGCYCACAGCTTCAGCTGTGAACGGGCCCAAAATCTGGGTGTAGTGATGGACTCTGACCTGAACCTTCGGAGACACATAAAAACAAAAGTTGGTGTTCTACCACCTGAAGAACATTCCCAGAATTAAAGAACTAATATCACAACAAGATTTAGAGAAACTATTCCATGCTTTTACTTTTAATCGCATTGATTACTGTAACAGTATCTTCACAGATCTGCCAAAAAAATAAAATAAAATAACTATCAGACTGCTACAGCTAATCCAAAATGCTGCTGCTCATATTCTCACTAAGACTAGAAAATAGAGCACATCACCCTGGTTTTAAAGTCCTTACATTGGCGACCTGTAGCTCAGATAATAGACTTTAAAATGCTTCTATTAGTTTATAAATGTCTTAGCACTCAGGTCTTCTGGTTCCAGTCTTTGTATCCCTAGAACTCGAACCAAACATGGAGGGACAGCTTTCAGTTTCCATGCACCTTTAATCTGGAACAAACTCCCAGAAAACTGCAAAACAGCTGAAACACTAAAATCTTTTAAATCAAGTCTGAAAACCCACCTGTTTAGAGCTGCCTTTGATTTTACTGCACATATGTTTGATGTTTTTGATGATGTAAAGCCCTTTGAATTGCTTTGCTGCTGAAATGTGCTAAACAAATAAATTTTATTTACGTACGTACGTATTTACTGACTGACTGACTAACTTACTTGCTTACTTACCGGTACTGACTGACTGACTTACTTACTTGCTTGCTTGCTTACTTACCGGTACTGACTGACTGACTTACTTACTTGCTTACTTGCTTGCTTACTTGCTTACTTGCTTACTTGCTTACTTACTTACTTACTTACTTCCCATCACAATTTCTTTTCAGAAGAGAACGTTACCTTTTTGCTTTCAACCTGGTGTCTCTGATTCCACTGTCATCTCTCTGACCTAACTCAAATAGAACAGATAAACCATCCTAATTTGCAAAATTTAACATCAGTTAGAGGGCGTTTTGGCTGAGCAGAAGTTGCACCAGTCTATCAGCATGGCACATCTAAATAAATGTAAACACCTCTATGTGCACCTACAGTATCTATGTTTTAAACTTTTTAAAGCAGTGTCCAAATTTCATGCTTAGCACTCAYTGGTTTTAATATTGCTAAAACTGTATTAATTATTGGTGCTATTGCGATAATTATTAATTTTGAAAATGAATAATTACAGTAGAAGTCTCTTTTGTTTAGAATTAGTAATAAATCAAAGGCCATCATGTGTTGAGTCAAGAATCGTGCAGTAAAAGTTTAATTATAACCATTTGATCATCTCTCTGTGAATTTGCTCTCTTACAATCTCAGTAATATTTTCATTATTATTTTTTATAAACCTCTGATTAAATGAACATTATGTCTTGATTTTTGATTGTTTTCATTTTTCACAATCAAAATGAGTATCAGGACATGTGTAGCTATCATGCTGTATGTTGATGTTTTACTGTCTATATTTATATGTATTTAATTAAGGTTTTATTTCAGGAGCATATTGCAGGGAGAAGCTCAGATCAGAGCTGCAGTTACCTTTGGGCTCATTCGGGTCATGGCTTCACAGCAGTAAATCCTCAGCAGATCAAACACTCATCAGCTGATATGTTTCACTCAACGTTTGTTTCTGCTGGTGAAATGTGAAAATGAAGACTCGAGGTTAAGCTGAAACAGACCGAGAGCCCAAAAGGTCGTTCTGTCAGGTTCACTAAAATCCCAGTGTGTTAATCCCGTTGAGCCGCCGGACTAATCCTGCAAAACCTTAAGGGAGTCTGTCAGGTCTGATTACATGTAAGGGAGACCGGGTGTGTTTCGCTGGGACTCTTTTTGTAAAACGGAAATTTCTTTGCAGAATCTCATCCAACCAACTGACTCTGTTTGCATCAGATAACTACAGTATCTTATATAAAAGTTTTCCTTGTTTATTTTTACTAGGCTTTTTTATTATTATTTCAAAACTAAAYATGATGTCCAAAGCGCCCAGGTAAGTCAGCATTCATTTCACAACTTAACTTAAATCACTTTATTTGACTTTATAAAAGGGCTGTTTTGTTGTTATTGACATTATGTACAGTAATGGTTTATTCAGTTCAGTTCATTCTTATATATTTTGTCATGTGTCTTATATAT